TTTTCAGGCGTTTCTCAAAATCAGTTTTTTTTGTTGCTACTGCTCAAAAAAGTGCTTCAAAATTTTGTTTTATGATTATATTTCAGACAGTTCATTCAAATGATACATTGATAAGGTTTTTATTCATTATATTTTGACAAAATACAATTTTTGTTAACATTTTAGTCAAAACACTGTATTTGCCTTTTTCTCCTTATACAACTTTTGGACTTAAACCTTGTTTCAATGTGATGGGTCACATTTGTCAAAGATTTTAGACATATTTAAATGTTCAACAAATATCTTTGAATTTGTTTTTTGTGGTTTTATCTTAAAAAAATCTTATCTCAAAACATTTGTCAAACATTTTAGGTTTTCTTYTTAAGAAATCACAACTTATTTATCTAAGTTTGTGGTTGTAGTGAATTGCTGATGATAGTTTACAGAGCGCAGATAGGAGATTAGTTATTTGAGGCAGTGATGACCCAGCTGTCGGGTTGTGTTTGCTGCTCTGTAACCCAGCAGTTCAGTCATTCCAGTTGTGTCTGCAATCAACCAAAACACCACGTGTGATTTAAAAAGTCGAGCTTCTCCCCACTCGACTAAGCTCGCCGCATTTTTCTTTTTTGGTTATGACTGTTGGCTGGACAACAAATTATAAAATACAGAGTGAAAAAGCAGAAGTGAAACATATTTGCACTCACTGTGACTAGATCTATATGTGTTATGGCACCTTTTAGCAGACCGAGTGTGAACAGCTACATTTAGCGCAAGTTTGTTTTTCTTCCATTAGAAAAAAAGTACCAGGAAACTAACATTTCACAACTTAATTGCTTAGAAATAATCGCTTTGGACTCATGAACAAATTCAACAAAGAGACGACAAGCGATATATCTTACACTAAATTGTGGCTCGATATTTGTGAAACAGAGTTTTAGCCATTTTTGTGTTTTTGCTAAGGTTTGGGAAGTTAGTGGTGGTCACTTTGGGTTGACTCCAAAGGGTAATGTACCTAGGCTTGTCACGAAAACATGAACTGTCTCAGAAATTATCGTGATAAATGATAATACTGTTTGGAGACCATTTTAGACCATCGTAATGACCATATAACATTTATATCACAAAACACAACAACACCTACTGAAGCTGTAAAATCACTTCCCACCATTCTGTAAGTGTCTGCCCCTGACTGCATAAAATAATTGCTGCTTAAAWCCGAAGACGCTCCTCTATCTACCTGAAAAATACCTGAWGCAAGAGCTGACTCCAACCTACTCCAGAAAAGAGGGAGACAAAGAAAACTGCACACAAATGAAAATTATCAACCTCATTTTAATTTATTGTGTAATTAATTGATTTTTTTGCTACTCGTGCAACTGTTCTCTGARCTATTGTCAAAAATATATTAATTTATGTTGTTCTCACTGATGCACAACACCAAAGGTGCGCTGGAAAAAAAGATGACCTCACCGATGCGATGAGGTAATTCATACCTGTGATCAGCTGACAATAGACAGGTATGAGGTAAGGTTTGTGTGCGTTTGTGATCRCTTCCTGGTGTTCCTCAGTGGAAAAGGTAATCATAATTCAGGGGGAGATGAGAAGAAATAAAAATGGGGATGCAGCAGCCAGGTGTTGGAAGTGTGTTTGTGTGAGGTAGAAGCAGGTGGTTCAGTCTGTCATTAAGAGCTGAGTCATAGATTTCGAGTCAGCCATGGACACGCACACACACACATGCACACACACACAGTCTAGACCAGACAAGGAGCATGTGTTTGTAAGAAAAGGGGGGTTTCCAGGAAATTGCCAAAGTCTCTTGGTTTACTATCTAATCACAGCGTTTCAGTACTTTCATTCATCTTTATTTCTCATCATTATGTTTTTCTTTCTTCTTTTTTCTGAAAAGCGAATTTGTTATCAACACTGAATATTTAAATAACCATATTCAGATGCAGAAAATCGAGATATTTTAAACTTAGATATGTTCTTTATCCCATATATATCAACCCATTCTCACTCCCATGTCGTCACATATTGACGCTTTTCCAAGGTTCCCTCTAAGTCCGATTTTGACGCGCCGGGTACCCCCGTCACGTCAGTTACTGACGAGATGGGGCGGAAGCTGTAGTCATATTTTCAGAAAGTGTAGAAAATGCGCAAAAACTACCGTTTCGAAGCCTGAAATTACCTTTGTTGACTTTAGACATCCTGTCCCTGACCCTAGTACCTAAAATTAGCCATTTTTAGAAAATGTAGGAAATTCACGTAAACATGTTCCAAAGCCTGAAATT